CGGGGGCTGCCGGGCCCCTTCCCGGCCCCCCGCCGCCCTGACCCGGGCCGGCCCTGCCCGGCCGCTGCTGCCCCTGGGCGTGCGGCCCCGCTGAGCCACGCAGCGGGGCGGGTTTTTTGGGTGCTTCCAGCCCCCCGGGCAGCTCTGAGGCTCTGCACGCTCCCCAGGGACGCTCTGGGGATGGGGAGCGCCGTGGGGCTGCGGCGGGGGGGGGGCCCCACGGCCAGCAGGGTGGAGGGCAGGCTGGCTACCCCCCCGGCTAGCAGCTTGGTGGGCAGGCTGGTGTCCCCACAGCTAATAGCTTGTGGGGCAGCGGTATCCCCATAGCTAGCAGGTTGGAGAGCAGAGGTAGCCCCACAATTTGCAGGGTGGAGAGCAGGCAGGGGTGTCCCCATGGTTTGCAGGCTGGAGGCAGGGGTATACCCCCACGGTTTGTGGGTTGAAGGGCAGGCTGGGGTATCCCCATGGCTAGCGGGGCAGGTGTGGGGGAGGCCAGACACTGGGCTACTTGCTGGGCACCTGGAGATGCTCACAGCCTGACCCCGCTCCCCCCCACGGCAGGATCCCTCCGTGCTTGCCGGGAGCACGTCAGCTGCTTTGGTTCAGACAGAGCCTTGTAGGGTAAGGAAGCCGGTTTCTTCCCAGTGACAGCAGCGGCCGAGCTGGCAGCCAGCCTGCCGCGGCGCTGGCCCTCCCACCGCCGGCCACGCTCCCACCGCCAGGCCGCCGGCACTCACCGGGCCGCACGCTGAGGATGGCACTGCAGCAGGTCGCTCCCACCTCGTTGGCCGCGGTGACGGTGTAGAGGCCAGCGTCGGCTACCCGGGCACTCCTGACCAGCAGGGTATGACGCTCGCCCTCCGCCTTGATGGGCCGCGTCGTGCTGCTCCGCAGCGGGACCCCGTCCTTCCTCCAGGACACTGCCGGCAGAGGCGAGGGTCACTCGTGGGCAGGAGAGCCCAAGCTCCCCCCGGGGCCTGTGCAGGGTCCCGGTGAGGCCAAGTGCTCCCTTGCCTGGCGTGGGGACCCCTTTGCCATGGGGAGCAGCCCCGGGTTCCCACGGCCTCTGACGGAGAGAGCCTGGCTCCTGCCGGATTCCTGGCATCCTCCTGCCCTCCAGTGGAGGCTGGAGGAGGGAATCGAGGCCGCTTCGCTTCTGCCCGGCCCCGGCGGCTGGCACCGGCTCTGGCTGCCCAGCTGTCCCTGCCCACGTCCTGGCTACAGCATGCCCGCAGCCCATCAGCCCTGCGTCGGGCGCTGGGGCTCTGCCCCCGGGATACCCAACAGCAGCCCAGAGCATCACCCGGCCCTGCCTGCACAGCGCTCTGCGGCCCCGCTCCCGCTCTCCCAACAGCCCAGACCAGCGCGGGGGAACGGCGGACACCCTGCCCGCACCCTGCCCAAGCACTTCTCTCCTGCCTGGGGAGAGGCAGGGTGAAAAGGGTGCTCCCGGGGCGGGCACATCACCTCCCTGAGACACCCAGCCTGGGGCAGTGTGTCCCACTCTGCACAGCTCGGGTAGGGACGGCTCAGCGGGTGGGACGCAGACATGCAGAGAGCCCCTCTGCCACGCTCGCACCCCCCGACCCCCCCAGCCCTGCGGTTGCTCACCTTCTGGCTGGGGGTTGGCTGTGACAATGCACTTGAGCAGCACCTCCGCCCCCACGGCCACCGCCATGTCCTGGATGGGGATCTCAAAGATGGGGGCTTCCAGGGGGTCTTCACCCGCTGAGACGTAGGAGTCGTCAGAGGACTCTGGACAGGGAGAGATGGACCCCGTGGCTGTCAGCGGGGTGAAGCAAGCGGGTCCTGTGCCATGCCAGGCTGCGTGCAGGCAGAGCAGGGGCCCCGCAGCCCTCTGCCCATCCCTGCCACCACATGCCCCTCACCCTCGCTGGGGCATTAGCAGGTCCCCAGGCCGTGCAGTAGAGGAAAGGGCCACATCAGGGGCCACTACAGCACAGTACCTGCAGCGGGACGAGGCAGGGGACCACGGGGCAGGGAGCGTACAGCCTGCTGTACATCCCCGTACAGCGTAAGGGATGAGGCGACAGCGGGATGTGGAAGGAGGAGGGTTGTACAGCCCATTGCAGCCGCCGCTCCGAGCTCCCCCCCGCCCCCCACGGGGTGCTGGCTGCTCTGCCCTGCCACATCGGCATCGGCCTCCCAGCTCCCTCCCCTCCCATGGCCCCAGCACATGGGCAAGAGTCCTGGGGCTGCGCCAGGAACCTCAGGCACATGGGCCTGACACCGCTCCGGCCAGAGCGGAGCCTGGAAGGAGCTCCCAGCCCGAATGCAGTCTGGTCTCACCTCTGCGTGCTGGGATGTGCCGGGCACCTCTCCCCTGGCCAAGCCACCGCAGCATCCCCTGGGGACGCTTGGGCTGCACGCCCTGCCCGGAGCACTGAGCACGGTCCAGCCGGGACAAGCTGCAATGGGTGCCCTGTGCCCCAGCGGGGCTGGGACCAGCCAGGGCTGGATGCCAGAGGTCAGCACCCTGCATCCTTCCCATGCCAGGCAGGAGGGACGGAGACATCAGCAAGTGTCATGACCTCAAGGCCCAGCAAACTGGTACCCAGGCTGGTCTGTCTTATGGGACTGGTTGGTGCCAACATCCTCAGCCTCCAGAGCTGTGTCCCCCCACCCCATCCCTGTGCTCTCTGGCACAGCCTGGGCTCCCCACGCCTCCCAGGGGCAGGCTGGAGGTCCCCCATCCCACTCAGGGGCTGGCTGGGCCAGCTCTGTGCCCGCAGGAGGGCAGAAAGCCCTGCCCCTACCTAGCTCCGGAGAGGTGGGCCTGGCTCGCCGCCCCTTCCCCTTGCTCCGCATGCTCCTGCCTTCTTGAGCCGTCCGGCCACTCTCTTTCTTCTCCGACACTTTCATCTGCCTTCTCTCCACCTCCCTGCCCACGCCATGCTGCCCTGCCCAGCTCCTCTCCAGGCGAGCCTCCTGCTCCATCCCTGGCTTCGCCCAGGGCAGGAACCGCACCTCCACGGGCGCCTCTGGCCGCCGGTACAGCCCGTGGGGCACGGCCAGCCGGGCGGCCAGGGCTTCGCTCACTGCCCCAGGGGCACGGGCTCCACTGGCGGGGCCCCCGTCCGGGCACGGGCTGCCTTCGGCGGGACCCGCCTGCGAAAGGGCTGCCCGTCCCTGTGGGGTGGCTTGCGCTAACGGCCACTGCTCCTTCTTCTTCACTTCCCCAGTGCCTTCTTGCTGCGGACCCTTCCTGGCGCCCGCATCCTCCGCCTCGTTGGGCTGACCAGCCACCACGCCACCCCGCGCCGGGGCTTTCCTGCCGCGCTGCCCCCCCAGCTCCAGGTCCCCATCAGGTCCCACCAGCGCCACGCTGGAAAGTGCCAGGTGCTGGATGACATGCGTGCTCTCCGCCGGCGGGAAGGTCTTCGGCAGCAGCACCTTGCGCCCACCGGCGCCCTGTGAGGAAGGGGTGCGGGGGGCACGGGGG